TTAGTGCAGCTGTGCTGGAGCTTAATGTTTGTTAGTCTCTCTCATTGGGATTATCTATGTGATTTGGAAGTTTGTGTTTTGTCTGGAATCCATAATAAGATGTGTGGTTCACCTCAGTAAGCGACTCTTTAGATTTCATTAGTGCAGCTGTGCTGGAGCTTAATGTTTGTTAGTCTCTCTCATTGGGATTATCTATGTGAGGGTTTGGGAATCACTAACTCCAAGTGGATTTTTCTTCCCTGCTACTGCCTCTCCAGACCTTAAACATGTCAAGACGCGTCTAAGTGCTCTAACCATTGGAGGTAGGCTTTAATGTCAAAAGAGTTCTGTGCCTCTTGCTATATAGCAGTGTTTTAGTAGCTGCAAGTAGTTCTAGCTGCTTTTTTGTGTGTATTTCTGATTTTGCCAGTGCTAGTTAGCGTTTCGGCCACTTTGATTTTATGCATTCAATTTTTCCTAAATTTGAAGAATTCCAAAAATGTTTTTCATTATCTAAGAATGGCAGCTGTAACTTATGTTTAAGGATATTAATAAAAACAACTCTCAGAAAATATAGAATTTAGAGAATCTGTGAACCTAAAAATAATTCTAAGCTTTACTGATCTTATTCTTGAGCAGTGGTGTGTCTTCATTTAGCAGTACAAAACGTATGTTTATATGGTAGATTGTGTTAGCTTTTAGTGTTGAACATATAAAAACACCAAGAAATATTCTGTATATTGTATATACAGTATATTCTGTACTATTTCAGGCATCTTAAAGGGATAGTCCTTCTGAAGTGAAACGATGCGTTCGTGTAAGAAAATATCCATATTTAGAGGCTAGTTTTGGTAGTTCACTCTTAAACTCATTTCTAACTTGCTGATTGTGATTTTAAATGGAAATATGTGACCCGTGCTGGCAAAATGAGTCGGAATGCGCACAGGCTAATTTTGAGCTTGTTTGATATTTACGATTTGAGTTCGGCGACGCTCCGTCTCGATCGGGAGCTGTTAAATATTCATAATGACACCACACAATAGAGGATTTTTTAGCCTCCAATGTGCTCCGGTTGTATTATAAACATGGCGTCGTTAATATCGCTTATCAGTTTGAGCCCGATTGAGAAGCAGAGGATATTATTGAAGAGGATCATGCAGAACCTGTGCAAGCACGGCTTTTAATGGTAGACCTATGTTTATTGTTTGTTGTTGTCTCATAATTTTTGATACGCTGTTATAAGCTACTGCTTATGTTAGCTTTTAATATACGGTTTTATCTTGATTAAAGGCAACTGCACGCGCGTCCATGTTTAGCGCTTCTCATAGCTATGTGAAAATAAGTGTATAATTGGAACAGTTCATTATTGGAGCTGAGCTGAATGAGAGAGAGCGATGTAGAGCATGTGCAGAGCAGGGGGGCGTGAGGAACAGTATTAAAGGGGGTCATATGATGCGATTTTAAATTTTTCCTTTCTCTTTAGAGTGTTACAAGCTCTTGGTGCATAAAGAAGATCTGTAAAGTTGCAAAGACTAAAGTCTCAAATCCAAAGAGATATTCTTTATAAAAGTTAAGAGTCAGCCACGCCTACCTAAAACGGTTCATTCTAATACGCCCCCACATACCTACGTCACTATCTGGGAAGATTTGCATAACGCCGCCCAAATGTTCACGCAAAGAGAGAAGGCGTAACTTTTATTCTCGCTGTAGTATTGTTGTTGCCGCCGCCATGTCGTGAAGGCGCTGTGCGTTTCGTTGTGAAAGCGAAACTACATTGTTTGGCCTTCCAGAAGAGGACGATATCCGCTATCTAAAAGTACCAAAGCACCATGCTTATTGTGATTTATTGGATGGTAAGTGCCCTTCAATGTTCCATCCATTAACTGAAAAAAGGCTAGACTAAGTGATTCTTGGGATTTAAGAATCGATATCGTTCTGTAAAAATTAGAATCTAATCGATTAATATCGAGATATCCATATTATTGTTTGGCCTTCCAGAAGAGGACGATATCCGCTATCTAAAAGTACCAAAGCACCATGCTTATTGTGATTTATTGGATGGGAAGTGCCCTTCAATGTTCCATCCATTAACTGAAAAAAGGCTAGACTAAGTGATTCTTGGGATTTAAGAATCGATATCGTTCTGTAAAAATTAGAATCTAATCGATTAATATCGAGATATCCATATTTTTTTACCCTGAACAAATTATGAATGGGTCTTTATACTATACATGAAAATATCATGAAATGCCATCTTTGTCTAGTACAGTGTTATTTTATATACTATTAAAGTATTTATTATTATTTTGAATTGGCTTTTTTATATTTTCAGTTTTAATAGTAGTTTAAGTTTTTGTAATTATATGTGCTTGTCATTTTTATTTTATTTTTATTTTTGTAAATGTTTCTATTTAGTTTTGTTTTAGTACCTCAATTTTTTTCTTTCAACTTAAACGTTTTTCATCTTATATTTATATTTCATTTTAAGTACCCCAAATTATTTTAAATAGTTTTAGTTAACAATAACAACACTGATCTACTAATACATTTCTGTAATTAGTCTTTAGTAGATTTTAGCTGGTTGTTGAATGACTAGTTGACCACCATGACCCATTTATTTCCTGTTTCCTATTTATTGTTATAAACAAAGAAAGGCATAAATCAAGTAATCATCAGCCTTGAAATTGTGAACAACTCTGAATATTCCTAATGAGCCTTAAAAGATCATAGTCATAAAAGATGCTGTTCAAAGATAGTAGGATACACACGCATTTTTTAAAAAAGGTGATTATTGGGATGAGATGTGATTGTGAACATTGTGATTGTAGTGAAGAATGCTTCTGCTCAAGGTCTGGCTTTTTTGGGGAGGTTATTTTAATGTGAAGTGCATTTTGGTGGCTTTGCTGTCCACACGCTTCAAATGAGGTGAAGGGAAGCTTTATGTGGCAGTTAATAAAGGCTACGTGTGTAGCTTGGATCCTCTTGTAATATCCCCCAAACACACACCCTTCTGTATATTCACACATCCAGACACACACGTAAAACACTAGAAACATACTCTCATTCTCTCTTCCAATGCTCAGCCTCCCCCCCCACAGCCCTCTCTGTCGGTCTTGCTCTCATTAACACACTCTGGTCTACTATAGGTTAAATCTGTCTTTAGCACACCCGCTCATATGCCTCGAGGTGCATGGCTGCCTCTTTTTGCACTCCTTGCCAAACATCCAAAATGATCGACACAGACAGGTCCGTTTCCATGTGTGCTGACCTGTCAGAATCTCTGTACAGCCTAATGCATGGCATGTTGTTGTAGGTACTGAATGAACAGCAGTAAATACTCATTTTCCATCCATTTATGAAATGATTGCCCAAATACACTAAGCGTTTCAGAGAAACTGTAGGCAGTTTAATACTCAAAGACTACAGTTCTGCCAAGTTGTTAACCTGCATGTTGTGGTATTTGAATTAGTAGTGCTGCTGTGGATAATAAAGAATCTGTCTGAACCTTGTGTTCACATGCTTTGGAAGTGTGAATCTCACAACGAAATGTCCAGCTCATCTTTCAGCCCCAATACAGTGAATGTCATCCTTTATGGACACATTTAATTTTAAAAACTTAAAATCAGAAACTATTGATTTTATAAATTTTTTTTTAATTTGAAAAATGGGGGGCCTCAAATTCTCAAAACATTTGATTTATTATATACATTTTATATAATGTATACATATATTATATACATACATACTGGACATGTTGACAGGTTTTGTGAGATCAATGCTCAAAGGTTTATTGAAATGTATTTATTTATTTGTATATTGAAATAATATATTATGCTTTGTTAATATTTACTAAGCAATTTTTCAAAAATCATCCCTGTGTAAGGATATTGGGGCCTTATGAAATCCATTTTATTTTATTTTAAATAAATTAAATTTTAGTAATCAAAAAGCATGAAATCATGAAACTTATACAGACAGATACTAGTATCGTTACATGGCTAAACTTGCCAAATTCTGTGAGATTCGGCAGTATACTTTTTAATGACTTTTTTTATATAAATACTTTTTTTTTTTTTTTTGCGTTTTAGAGGCATAGGATATATAATCATTCAATTCTTAATACAGATGTTGATGTTTATTTACACTAGTTATATCAGAACTGTACTTTGTCATAATATATATGTACTTTAGTGTACACAGTATAACTGTACATGAAATAGTACATCATCTTTCAGTTTTTGACTTGAGGTGATGAATTAATAATTATAATAAACAAATATAATAAATAGTCTCGTTATACTACTAAATGAGCTGTTCACTGTTCAATATATTAATTGTAGCTCACAATCCAAAGCAGCTCGTTTACATATTAAATTCAGGATGCATTTAATGCAACAATTATACTAGCATTATTAACACCAATATTATATTGACGATGATTATGCAGTTAACCCACTTTTTCCTTTGTTTTTTTTTTTTTCTTTTCTTTTTGGTGCACACCCCAACTCTCTCATCAATTTTCAAACCACCTATCTTTTGTCTTCATTCTCTCTCATTCTTTCTCCTTTTCCATCCATTTACTTACACTTCATACTTAATGTTCTTTTTTATATATTGTCCGCTTTGCTGTTACCATTATTTAACATTTATCATGCTATTTGCTGGTGCTTTTTGTTGTGTACTTCCATAACACTCCAATCCACCATGTTTCTGGTTATGCATGGCATCCTCACATTTACTCCATTCATCCCCCACTAACTCATACATGCTTGTTTTTTTCTCTCTCCCTATCTGTCTTTTTTTTCTTGTTTCATTGTTTCTATAATTTATATCTCCCCCTTCCCCCTCTGGATTGTTTTCTCTTCCTTTCACTTTGTTACTTTCATTTCTCCTCCATCCACTGGCATCTATGCTGGCCTTCTTTTGTGTTTCTTCTCTTTTCTGTTGACCCTGTCCCCCTCCCTCTCCACCTGCCCTTCTTCTCTGGGTTGGGTTGGATGTGTTGTGTGTTTTGCTGTCAGGTTTCTATGGGCTGGAAGAGTCTGATCTGGATAAAGTGTTCCGCTTGCCCACCACCACCTTTATCGGGGGCAATGAGAGCGCTCTGCCCCTCAGGGAGATCATCCGCCGCTTAGAGGTTAGTGAGGACGCAAGGAATATTTCAGCCTCAGGTCTGTCTGAATGTTTCTATCACAGTGCCCTAGGAAGACTACCATAATGCAGTGGCCAAACTACTGGTGGCCCTCAAGATTTTAAATAAGAGAAAACAACTAAAAAGATCTCTCTTCTTTATTCCAAAGAAACTGCATCATAGCCGAATATTTCAATATTACTCTCTGTGTGTGTGTGTGTGTGTGTGTGTGTGTGTGTGTGTGTGTGTGTGTGTGTGTGTGTGTGTGTGTGTGTGTGTGTGTGTGTGTGTGTGTGTGTGTATACTGAAGGGCAGTACTAAATGAAACAAATATGATATTTAGGCAAAATTTACACATCTTCATTCTGTTTAAAAGTTTACATTTAGGTACTTACATGTTTCCCAGAGCATCAGTGAGCGTTTGAACCTTTTGTAATAGTTGCGTACGAGTCCCTCAGTTGTCCTCTGTGTGAAAATATGGATCTCAAAATCATACAGTCATTGTTGGAAAGGGTTCAAATATGCAAAAGATGATGGAAAACCAAAGAATTTGTGGGACCTGAAGGATTTTTCCGAAGAACAGCAGGCAGTTTAACTGTTCAGGACAAACAAGGGACTCATGAACATTTTAAATAAGAGAAAACAACTAAAAAGATCTCTCTTCTTTATTCCAAAGAAACTGCATCATAGCCGAATATTTCAATATTACTCTCTGTGTGTGTGTGTGTGTGTGTGTGTGTGTGTGTGTGTGTGTGTGTGTGTGTGTGTGTGTGTGTGTGTGTGTGTGTGTGTGTGTGTGTGTGTGTATATATACACAGTGTTTGAAGATCTGGATATATTGTGTGAAAATATGGATCTCAAAATCATACAGTCATTGTTGGAAAGGGTTCAAATATGCAAAAGATGATGGAAAACCAAAGAATTTGTGGGACCTGAAGGATTTTTCCGAAGAACAGCAGGCAGTTTAACTGTTCAGGACAAACAAGGGACTCATGAACAACTATCACAAAAAAACAAAAAACAGCTGTGGATCATCCAGGTAACAACACAGTATTAAGAATCAAGTGTATGTAAACTTTTGAACGGGGTTATTTTTATAAAGTCACCTATTATTTTCTCTTGTGGACTATATGTAAATGTCTTTTATGTGAAATATCTTATTCGGGTCAGTACTAAATAAAAAATGACCTGCATTTTGTATGATCCCTCTTATTTGGGTAAAATAACATTTTGAAGATACTGCAAAGGGGGTGGGGTTGGTGTCAAAAAGGCATTGAGCAATAAATCTCATCTCTTGGTTTAATTGAAGTGTTTGTCGTAAGCAGCCATGACATTGTCAGACATATTATTTATTATGTTGGGTACCACTGATGCAAAGTCCCAAGCCACATAGTTTCACAATAAATATTAAATACAGTTGCCCTAAAACAAATGTATTGCTACACAAAATAGACACTCTTGTACACCTACAGTGGGTACGGAAAGTATTCAGACCCCCTTACATTTTTCACTCTTTGTTATATTGCAGCCATTTGCTAAAATCATTTAAGTTAATTTTTTTTCCTCATTAATGTACACACAGCACCCCATATTGACAGAAAAACACAGAATTGTTGACATTTTTGCAAATTTATTAAAAAAGAAAAACTGAAATATCACATGGTCCTAAGTATTCAGACCCTTTGCTGTGACACTCATATATTTAACTCAGGTGCTGTCCATTTCTTCCGATCATCCTTGAGATGGTTCTACAAGAGTGAAAAATTTAAGGGGGTCTGAATACTTTCCGTACCCACTGTATGTTATGCTTAAACAATGAATGATTGATTGTTTGAATGTTATTGCATTACATAATATGTGAATTTATGAAGTCCGTTCTCCTCGAGTTCACACGTGTCCTATCAGAGAAACCACTTGTGTTCTACATTACGTTAATTATGAACATGATTAACTAACATTGTTGTTAAATGGTTGGGTACTGTATTGGGTGTGATTTTTGTCACTTTATGCAGTATTTTGTTTCAGTTTAGTTGCTGAAATGTTGTGTTTCTCAGATGGCGTATTGCCAGCATATAGGGGTTGAGTTCATGTTCATCAATGACCTGGACCAGTGTCAGTGGATCAGACAGAAGTTTGAGAAGCCTGGAGTCATGCAGTTCAGCCTGGAGGAGAAGAGAACACTGCTGGCTCGCATGGTCCGCTCCACCAGGTACACACACACACTCACACAAAGGCCCACATGCAAGGGTACACACAGGAATACCTGCATTAAACCTTTTCTTTAAAAAAATCTGAATGTTTGTGTCAGTCTGAACAGACACATTACCAACTGTTTGTTCAAATTAAAGTCGATTTCACACCAAACATTTGACTTGGTGTGACTGTTGTAATGCGTTTCCCAACACTGGATGTGTTTAAATGTATATTTACTTCTTGAAACCCGTTTTAGGTGTTTCCTGCAGCTCTGTAATATGTGCGTGCTAATTTCTGCAGGTTTGAGGAGTTCCTGCAGAGGAAATGGTCATCTGAGAAGCGCTTTGGGCTGGAGGGATGTGAGAGTCTGATCCCAGCACTCAAAACCATCATTGACAAGTCCAGTGATAAGGGAGTAGACACGGTCATCATGGGAATGCCTCACAGGTAGAAGAAGAAATTCAAATGTGAAAAACAGATGAGAGGAAATGAGTGGAAACCGGATATTACAGCGACGTATGTGCCGTTATGGTGATTCAAGGTATCAGATACAAACTCTCTTGCTCTTTTTTCGGTCTCTGCAGAGGGCGTCTGAACGTGCTTGCCAATGTGATCCGTAAGGAACTGGAGCAAATTTTCTGTCAGTTTGACTCTAAACTGGAAGCTACTGATGAGGTCAGTGACGTCTATGTGCACTCATCCTTGTGAAATTAATCATCAGAACAGACATAAGAACCACTGCAATTGATGAAACATGTCTGTACCTCTACAGGGTTCAGGAGATGTCAAGTACCACTTGGGCATGTACCACAGGAGGATAAATCGTGTGACTGACAGGAATATTACCTTGTCATTGGTGGCCAACCCTTCCCATCTAGAAGCAGTGAACCCGGTGGTGCAGGGCAAGACTAAAGCGGAGCAGTTTTACTGCGGAGACACAGACGGCAATCGGGTGAGACATAAAGAGCATCAAACTAGGGCTGTGCCGGTATTATTATACACATTACCATTCAAATGTTTGGGGTTAAGATTTTTTTTATTGTTTTTGAAAGTCTCTTTTGCTCACCAAAGCTGCATTTATTTGATCAAAAGTACAGTAAAACAGTAATATTGTAAATTATTATTACAATTTAAGATGTAATTTATTCCTGTGATGCAAAGCACCACAACATCATTACTCCAGTCTTCAGTGTCACATGATTCTTCAGAAATCATTCTAATATGCTGATTTGCAGCTCAATAAACATTTATTTTATTACCAATGTTGAAAACAATTGTGCTGCTTTTATTTTTGTGGAAACCATGATACTTTTTTCAGGATTCTTTGGTGAATATAAAGTTCAAAAGAACAGCATTTATTTTCAAATATAAATCTTTTGTAACATTATGAATCTCTTTACTGTCACTTTTGATCAATTTAATGCACCACTTCTGAATAAAAGTATTGATTTCAAGAAAAAAATCTCACTGACCGCCAACTTTTGAATGGTAAAATAACATTTTATTAAATATAGTAATAAAAAACATAATATAGTTTTTATTTTCCTCACCAGAGGTGCAGGGATGTTTTTCTGTCTAGTTTTCATGAGAGCACCTGGAGGTTTGGTGATACCCATTAAATATAACTATTAAAAAATAAATAATTAATAATAGTATTCTTGCACTTTATTTATTTTTAAAATAAAATAAAATAAAAAAAATAAAGTGTGATAATGCTGTTATAGATTAAAATAAAAAATAAATATTAAATTAAAATACAATTATTTTATAGTACACTTAAAAAATACAATGCTAATATTTACATTGTAATTTTTTTTCTTCTTTTTTTTACTTTTTCTTTTTTATAACTTTTCAACATTTTCAAACCTAAAATCAACAAGCTTTTATTTAGGCGGGTTGCTGGCAAGTAAGAATATGCGCTGCTGGTTTTAGAGCTGCCGAGTGAAGTGCGTCAGTGAATGAAATTACAGTTTTGTGTTTTGCTCTGAACCCGGCAGCACGTAACCTAGATTCATGCTTTCAGTATTAGAGTTAGTTTATCTAAAACAGTGAGTATGCATGCAATTAACAGCTGTCAACCATGATGAGCGATCTGAACTTATTTACCCAGTGCATTTTTTATTTTGGTCGCACCTGCGTACCACTTATGTGCACCCCTGTTCCTTACAATATTGCATTAATACTTTGGTCCTTGTATAGAAATTATGTGTACATTCATATAATGTTCTAGAGTTCAGTTAATGAAGCAGGTCATCTAAATATGTTTTAAAAATGATCTTTTTCATCTGACGCTCACTTAAAATTAATCTTTAAAAACACAAAAATTGTATCATATTAATAACATACTTGTAACACTGTTAAATGTAATCTTTAGCCAATCTCAAAATGATTATCGATTTTTCATACTGAACATAACGAAGACAATATTTTTTTAAAACAAGATTGTTTGGACTTCATTTAATCATTTATTAGTCATAACATGAGCAGTGACATGCTGTCACATGTGGCTTATATGTATATGTGAGAATTTAATATCGGTGCATCTCTAGTGTCTTTAAGATATATTTTAAATGGCTCCGTTATGAAGAATTCAAATCCTGTTTTTAATTCTATACCCCTCGTAGAACCAACAGCTTTTAAATGTTCTTTCCTATGTGTGTTTTTGTTTCAGGTGATGTCCATTCTGCTCCATGGTGATGCTGCATTTGCAGGTCAGGGCATTGTCTATGAAACCTTCCATCTGAGCGATCTGCCGTCCTACAGTACACATGGCACTGTGCATGTGGTGGCCAACAACCAGGTACACGAGCACAAACGCCCACAAACAAACCCATGCGTGACAATACATGCTAACACAATGCATCAGATGTCCTCTTAATACCCCTCTGCATGTCCTGCTCAGATCGGTTTCACCACAGATCCTCGTATGGCGCGCTCCTCTCCGTATCCTACTGATGTTGCCCGTGTGGTCAATGCCCCCATATTCCACGTCAACGCAGATGATCCAGAAGCTGTAATGTACGTGTGCACCGTGGCCGCAGAGTGGAGAGCCACCTTCCACAAAGATGTGGTGGTGGACCTGGTGAGTGATAGTGTTTTGTGTCTTTTATAAACACGTTATTCTGACTTATTGTTATAGTTCATGACATCAATCAGGCATACGACTTCGTTCCTTTAGGTATGTTACCGCCGTAATGGCCACAATGAGATGGATGAGCCAATGTTCACCCAGCCGCTGATGTACAAACAGATCAAGAAGCAGAAAGGAGTTCTGCAGAAATATGCTGAGAAGCTCATCGCCGAAGGTGCCGTCTCACGACAGGAGTATGAGGTCAGACGGTCCTGCCTAGAACCAATCAGCTGCCTCGTATCTTCAGCTAGTCTTTCTGACGTGTTTTCACCTGTTTCTTGGTTCCACAGGAAGAGATTTCCAAGTATGACAAAATCTGCGAGGAAGCTCATGCTCGCTCAAAGGATGAGAAGATCCTCCACATCAAGCACTGGCTGGACTCCCCCTGGCCAGGTGTGTGTGAACATGGATATTATTGAATTTCATCCTTGAATTATGACCAAATTTGTTGAAGAAATACTGTCAGACTAGAAAGGTACGTCCACAGGCCGTCAATGGATCTTTCATTGCATATTTCATACATATTGCATATATGGCCTTAATGTTGCAATGAAACGGAAGTAGTGACAGATCTTTTCTTCCATATTGTGATGTATATCCAAACTAAAAAATCGAAAAATAAAAAATGTAGGACGGAGACTTGGTTCTGTGCATCAGTTGGTGATTGGATGTTGAGATGTGGGCGTTGCGCTCAAAAGTGGTGGAGGCAGTTGAGCATGAGTTTGCAGGGGTTTGGTTTAAACGGACTAAATGATTGGAAAAGACATGTATACGTCAGCAAAGAGAAATCTATTGTTTTACCTGGTTATGACATTTTGATAAAAAATTGCAAGGTCATAAGATCTATAGCATAAATCTGCAAATTAAATAGAGTGAATTTCCATTTCATGTCTTTAAAGCTGCAGTCCATAACTTTTTTTTTGGTTAAAAATAATCCGAAATCAATATTTGAGCAAGTGCATAACCAGCCAGTGTTCAAAACTATCGCCTTACTTTAGCCCGATTCACAACGGTTAGCTTATAATAATGTTTTCTACTTTGAGTGGTACGGGTATGTTTTCGCGGGAAATTCAAGCATGCTGCTGCGTCATTACATCACTTCTGTAAACATAAAGATTTAGTCCCGGCTACTAGGCTTTATCGCATGTGAGGATCCTGCAGGTGGCGGATCGTTTTATAGACTTTTCTCACAGCAGCTGGAATAATTAAATGTATCATTTTGATGGCGGATTGTAATCCGACTATGTGTTTATGAAACACATGTGACTGAAATTAAATTATTCCAGTTTTAAATGTGCATCTGATTACAGATAGCCTGGGATTACTCAGGATTTGTATTTTAAAGAGAACCAGTTCGAAAGAAGAATAATTTGCTTTTTGGGTTAAAAGAATTTCCTAATATGAAATTCTAATGATATGACAATTAGAGATTAGACTGTACAGAAATTGAAATCTACATGCTAATACACACTACATACACGTAGTCACGCAATGCTGATGTTGTTAACATTAACAATTTGAGAACAAAGTATAACAATAATAATAATTTGCACGGTTTGATGTGATATGAGCTAATCGATCATTAGATTTAATCACCATTGGTAGTGCGATTTATTGTAATGCTTTTTTCCTCAGTTGGTCAGAACAAACGTGGCAGACTTGTTACTTGTTCTGATGACAATATCCCGTGAAAATTCTTATTTGGGTCATATATTCTAAGACGTAGGCGAGAATCTGTGATTCCTAAGTACAGTATCCACACTGGTTCGGTGATTGACAGCCACACATTCACCTCAAAACATTAGATTCATCTGCGCTGGAGCCGTGCAGGCACACAACCCACGCAAGGAAGGTAATAACTGCAATTGCAGGTTTCAAACAGAGATGGCGACAAAGAGGCAAAACTTACAGGCTGCAGCTTTAAGTGATTTACCAAACCTGAAAATTGCTAATATGTAATCATTATTGGAAATGCTCCTCGCATGGTGTTCAAAATCACCTAATTTCATTTCAATTAAATGAATGTACTATATATTTGTTCAATGTTTTTTGTTTAATATTTTGTATTTTAAGGGATTTTATGGTACTTCATGCATAGAACTGAAATTTCCATCTTAAACTGTAGTAAATATTGAATGCTATTGAATGTTTTTTTTATTAAAGAAGACACTTGGCAGATGGAAAAAGTAATTTTTTGTAGTGAATTCTTTTTTTTTGTTTGTTTATTGTTATGAAAAATCAAAAATACTATTTTCAACTTTTAAATGAAGTATGTTTTTTCCAAAAACATGTTTCTGTGAGAAAATCTAAAAAAAAGATTAATTGAAACAAGTTGTGTTCCGAATTTTAGGTTGATATCTCAAAAAATTATCTTTCAGTAATATTTTATTTGGGCACAGTACCAAATGTTTCCACTAGATAATAATTAATTTCACATTGACTTCCAATTAGTTCATTTTTGACTGCAAGGAGTGAAAAAAATAGATTTTTTATTTTATTAAATTTTTTTTTTTCAGAAACTTTTCGAATGTCCATGACTTTGTTTGTGTTCACATAGCATGTGCCAAAACCTTTACCAACATTCTTACCATTCCAATGTAGTAAAAAAATTAAACATACAATTTTTTGATCAAAAATGGCCGAAGAGCACCAGAGGGTTAAATGTTTAGCTCCTATTGCATCTTCCTGTGACCATCTGGAAGTGGGTGGTTCAGAATGAGTTGCAGTATGGGCCAGACTTTGTTGTGAAGTCAATACCTCTGACTAAGCAAGACTAATTAAAAAATGTACAGCATTTTGCTGCTGCTTCATGTGTTTCTAGATCTAATAGCACAGTCATTATGTTTGGTGTGCAGGTTTTTTCACTCTGGATGGTCAACCCAAGAGTATGAGCTGCCCGTCCACTGGTCTGCCAGAGGAAGAGCTGACCCACATCGGACAAGTGGCGTCATCAGTACCCGTGGAGGACTTCACAATTCACGGAGGTGCACTAGACCTACAAAATAGTACATAAATATGCACACATTTCATGCATTCTGTTACTATAATACTGGTCTTCCCTTCACATACAGGTCTGAGTCGTATTCTGAAGGGCCGTGGTGACATGATCAAGAACAGGACAGTGGACTGGGCCCTGGGAGAGTACATGGCCTTTGGCTCTCTGCTCAAGGAGGGCATCCATGTGCGTCTCAGTGGCCAAGATGTGGAGAGAGGAACCTTCAGGTATAAAAAAAACAAGAACATTTCAGAATAATCATATAATTATGAATCTAAATGTAGTTGGGTAGTAACGTCTGCACATTTCTGTATGATAGACCATTTTTATTTGAGCCACACTTTGAAATGCAGCATTATTTTGGATCTCAGCCCGGTGTAAGAGGTCACTGACCTGTTGTTTGTTCCATTGGCAGTCACCGTCACCATGTTCTCCATGATCAGAACGTAGACAAGAGGATCTGCATTCCCATGAACCACGTATCCCCTAACCAAGCCTTGTACACCGTCTGCAACAGCTCTCTGTCTGAGTACGGAGTACTAGGTATTCAGACGCTCGCAGTACATGTTAAAACGATCTCTGCGCTTAAATGAAAGGTAGAGGACGCTCATGGAAACTCATGTTTTCTTTCATTCTGTGTGGTTTTCTTTAGGTTTTGAGTTGGGCTTTGCTATGGCCAGTCCCAATGCTCTGGTTCTGTGGGAGGCCCAGTTTGGAGACTTCCATAACACGGCTCAGTGTATAATTGACCAGTTCATCTGCCCTGGCCAAGCTAAATGGGTCCGCCAGAACGGCATTGTCTTACTGCTGCCACATGGCATGGAGGGCATGGTAAGGCTAGTATTACCCACAATTCATGCCACTTTTCTCTACACACTACTCTGTGTACTGGCAGTAAATGAGTTGATTTGGATTTATTTTGTTCCTTCACAGGGTCCCGAGCACTCGTCTGCCCGTCCAGAGCGCTTCCTGCAGATGTGCAATGATGACCCTGACTTTAACCCTGTAAGACTGTCTGCCTAATGTCTCTAAACGTTAATACAGTGTTGGTATAAACAAAGATTTTATAGTCATTCACCAGAATGAATATCAATGTACCTTTTATTTTGGCTGCAGAAAGTCACTGATGACTTTGAGGTGCGTCAGCTGTATGACTGCAACTGGATTGTCGTAAACTGTTCAAATCCCGCCAACTATTTCCATGTAATGAGGCGGCAGATCCTTCTTCCCTTCAGGAAACCTGTGAGTTCAGCTGTCTGAGAGCATCTGGACATTCACTGATTCGTCAAATGCATTATTGGTACTTAAATGATTTGAAATTGTAACTGATTTATTCATTTTCTTGTTTTTAGCTTATTGTCTTCACTCCCAAGTCTCTGCTGCGTCATCCGGAGGCCAAGTCTAACTTTGACCAGATGCTACCAGGTGAGAAACTGTTTGTTTGTTGCTGTGTTTCAGAGGGAAGATTTATTTATTTAAATATTTTCACATTTTACAGAACAAACAGCGGGGTTTAATCCACTGTTAATCCCCCACCCCCCATGCCAGCAAACCAAACAAATGAACAAATAACAAATAAATAAAATAACAATACATATATACAAATATATGTAAAATTACATACCTATACATAACTGTAATCATGCAATATTAATACATATGTGTGTGTGTGTGTATATATATATATATATATATATATATATATATATACACAGTGGGGGAAAAAAAGTATTTAGTCAGCCACCAGCTGTCTGAGAGCATCTGGACATTCACGGATTCGTCAAATGCATTATTGGTACTTAAATGATTTGAAATTTTAACTGATTTATTCATTTTCTTGTTTTTAGCTTATTGTCTTCACTCCCAAGTCTCTGCTGCGTCATCCGGAGGCCAAGTCTAACTTTGACCAGATGCTACCAGGTGAGAAACTGTTTGTTTGTTGCTGTGTTTCAGAGGGAAGATCTATTTATTTATTTATTTAAATATTTTCACATTTTACAGAACAAACAGCGGGGTTTAATCCACTGTTAATCCCCCACCCCCCATGCCAGCAAACCAAACAAATGAACAAACAACAAATAAATAAAATAACAATACATATATACAAATATATGTAAAATTACATACCTATACATACCCGTAATCATGCAATATTTATACATACGTGTGTGTGTGTGTGTGTGTGTATATATGTATGTATGTATGTGTGTGTGTGTGTGTGTGTGTGTATATATATGTGTATATATATATATATATATATATATATA